TTCTTCTTGATGCAGGTGCGCAGCGGCTTCTTCCACCGAAGGTCCGCTATGGTGGACTTTCTCCTCCAGCGGCCACCTCAGCTACGGCGCCTGCACACGACGGCGCGTGGAACAGCGGGTACCAGCTCCGATACCAGTGCAATCATACTCGACTTATTCACACTTCATCATGCTCGCAAACAGCGATACAGCGAACTGGTGACATGCGCCCACACAGTGGCGAGAAGAAGAACTGGCGAAGGGGAACGAGAAGAAGAAGAAGAAGAAGGGAAGGAGGGGGAGAATAAGAACAAGAAGGGGGAGAATAAGAACAAGAAGAAGAAGGGAAGGAGGGGGAGAATAAGAACAAGAAGAAGAAGCGAAGAAGAAGAAGAAGAAGAAGAAGAAGAAGAAGAAGAAGAAGAAGAAGAAGCAGCGAAGGGGGAGAAAAAGAAGCAGACGGCTGGTGGAGGACGGCGGGAAGGGGGGCTTGAAACGGGGACAAAGAAGAAGAAGAAGAAGAAGTGAAGAAGAAAAAGAAGTGAAGAAGAAGAAGAAGAAGAAGAAGAAGAAGAAGAAGAAAAAAAAAAAAAAGAAGAAAAAGAAGAAGAAACGAAGACGACGAAGAAGATCTCTCTCTCTCTCTCTCTCTCTCTCTCTCTCTCTCTCTCTCTCTCTCTCTCCAACTAAATCCCTTACCTTGTTGAAGGCGGCCGTTGGCGGGTGCTGGCGATGGCGGGCATTGGCGGGTGCTGGTGGGTGCGCCGAAGAAGCACGTTGAAGTTGCACGTCGAAGGCCGGCGGACACACAGTGCTGCAAGGCAGGGAAGGGGGGACGTCGGGTGCATATCTTCAGCACGGGGGAGGGAACGGGGGCCGGTAGTTCCCGTCCTCACCATTTTTTTTTTTTATTTTTTTTATTTTTTTTTTTGGAAAGCTTTGAACATTGGATTTCAAAAGAAAATAGGACCGAGGCCGGGGACCTCACAATTCAACCCGGAGTTATCCTGGCAGCCTTAGCCAGTTTCGCTTACGAGCTCAGCTATAAGCAGCTCTCAACAACAACTGCTGGAAACCGGGTCCAGCGTCCCATTCATAATCGGCTTTCCAAAAAAATTAAAACCTTGGAGCACAATGAAAAAACAGTCTCGCTTACTGCACTAAAGATCTACCATTCAAGGCTATCCAGAAGCCAGACTGTAGATTTTCCAGTCTCTCTCATCGATCCAATGTGATAAAGCCTAACGCGGCTTCAGCCAAGAGGACAGAACTAGTTTACCCTCAATCGAAAATTTTGCCAAGTAGTTGTTCTTTGTCCAAGTTTTACAAAACCACAGTCGGGAGCGACCCTGGCGTTCCCTGCAGCTCTTCCAGTCTGCAGAAATCATCTGTCTGAGATTAGAGCGAACCTGTGTTGGAAGACCGAAACTTTCTCCCCTCTAAACACACTAGCATTTCTCGCTTTCCATATTTCATAGCACAGTATTCCTCTGCAGACCAACGCCACATAGCCAACTCCTTCTGAGTATTTCAGAGCAGCGTTTGGAAGTAGGCCATATAGAATCCTGTCATCATTCCAGTCAAAATTGTTTCCCGCCATCTCTTTCCAATGCTCAGACCACCACATCCACAGCTCGTCAGCCAAAGGGCAGCATGTCCATAAATGCCCAAAGGACTTCCAACCCCATTGACAGCGGGTACAGGTGGGGGACACCTCTACCCCTTTTTGAGACAGCCAGTGGGCCGTAGGCACAACCATTAAAGATTGCATCCACTGCAGACTAGCATTCTTTTGAGAAGGTATTTTTTTCAAAGCTCTCCACATAGCATACCAATTAGGTTGCTGGCAATCTGGACCTTTTAGTTTCCCAAAACGTCTCGATGCCAGTTTCATTGGTGTTACAGTTGAAAGTTGTTGAAGTGATCTCACTCCGACTTTTGGTTTATATTGGAAGCGAAAAAAGGTGTTCTCCTTCTCAACATTCAGCCTCAAGCACCCACTTGTATTGCATGGGCTCTACTCCGAAGTCCTCCCCCATTCCCAACAGGGTGCAAGTCTTATCCATTTGCAGCACTCTAGCTTCCCCCAACCCCACCTTAGTCTGAATGACGGTTTCCTGAACTTTTCTTAATCTTCCCCCAACTACTCTTGTGCTGCACAGATTCCATTCTTCGACTTTTATTCCCCCAGTCAATTCCGGTCCCAAAACCTTCCAGTATCTGAGGTTATCTTCTTCCGAGAGGACCCAAGAGTTCTCACACAGTTCCGTCGTAGATTTTAACATTGTTAACCAATGCTTGGGGACTGCCTGGATAATGGAATCAAGGTTTGCTTGAACATATCTCAGTCTAGCCAATTTTCCCCTTAATTCATCTCCCGTAAGCCAGTCCTCCTTACTGCTGTTCCAAATGTGCTTGATCTGGAAGACACCTCGCTCTGTCCAAGTACGTCCAAATTGTCCCCCCCCTTCCTTCGCCCAAAACATGTCTCCGCTTTCGTTTACCAACAATGGATTTTCGAACAGGGTCTGGTTGGCTACTTCTTGTCTTGTGGTTGGCTTTCGGCAGATTGGTGGGCGTACTTTCCTCCATGCATTCAGAATGCTTCGCCATGTTCCGGATTTCACTCTTCGGTTCAAAAAGGAGGGGATGAAGCAGCACTGCCAGACACTTGTCTCCTCCTTCAAAGACCATTCTTGTCCTAAGATATATTCTGCAAATTTAACCCACAGCTTTGTGGGGTCTTCAAAGAGGGCTTTGATCACCCACTTCGATAGGAGAGCCAGGTTCTGTTTATGGGGATCTAAAATTCCCAACCCCCCTTGTGACCGTGGGAAAGATACAGCTTCCCAAGCCACCTTCGGTATATAACCGTGTTCCTCTTCAGCGGATGGTTTCCATAAGTATCTAGCAGCCACTCTGCGGATTTCTGTGTAGGCTTCATCTCCTAGTAGACACACTGATAGACGAAACCAGAGCACGAGCCGCCTTCATTCGAGAAAAGACGATGAGGGCCTCTCTAATAATACCAACCCCCACTTCTGCCCACATGTCCTGAGTGTCGAAGAAGTCCTTAGCATTTTGCCATTCTAACATTTGAGAATTTATCCACTTGGGGATTCCTTTATCCTTTAAGTTATTAATATTTAATCGAAAAGGAGGTCTAGCAGATTGAATCAAATCTTTGGATATCACATCAATCAACACAGGGTAATGGTCAGACATCGAGGCAACAGAATAGTCCGAAGCTATACAACGGTCCCACAAGGTCCCTCTGGCTGCCACAAAATCCAGGCGCCTCTTGGGTCTGGGGGTCCTGTTATCTGGTTTCGGACCATACCATGTATACCCGTGTTCTTCGGGGTTCATGTGCCTGTAAGTATCAACGAGACTCTGTGAATCCAAAAATGACAGCAGTAGCAGACTATCCTGTCTAAGAGGGGTCACTACCGGGGAGTCCAAGCCCGGATTGAGAGTAGTGTTCCAATCTCCTAATATTGCTAGATTTTCTGTGTCCGGGAGCATCGCCGGGAGATTGGCCAGGAATTCTGTCCTTTCGATATACTCAGAGGGGGCATTAACAGTCATAATGCCCCACTCCTCATTATCGATCTCCAGAATTATCCAAGCCCATTTCCCCCCTGGGTCTTCATAGTGGTCCAGAATCAGACAATCCAGATCTTTATGCAACAATATTGCAACACCCCCTCTCGTCCCGTCAGACGGAGCCCAAAATTGGGGGCCTGTCCACCAGTTGCGTGCTTCTTTAATTTTACTATCATTGAGCTTTGTTTCCTGCAAACACAGGATGTGCACGTTTTCAAAATTGGGGGCCTGTCCTCACCGATTTGGAATCGGTGCAATCTGGGCAATCGATCTTCGAGATCAACGATCCAGATGGGGCCCGATTTCAAATCGGTGAAATCGGGCCTACCGGCCCCTTTTTTTTTTTTGGCAGTCCACACGGTCTATGAAGGGGGCAAAAAGGGCCCCAGCGCCGGAAAAAAAAAAAAAAAAAAAAACTAGCCTACAGTGATGCGCTGGGGGCGCCCGGTGGCCAACCAGGCGTGACAACCGGTCAGGCGGCCCGGCACCCCCCCCGGGCGACGGCCAGGCTGCCGGACAGCCCAGGGACCAGCCTAGGATTTCAAGAAATTCAACAAGTTTCCTATTATTGAATCTTGCTATTAAGAAAACCTTCTATTCCCCTTTCTGGACTTTGTTTGGATGAAACCCGAAGCTGAGCCTAATCACTTCGTATATCATATCAAAGAGGATTTGGCAGACGAAGGCTGGGTAGGTGAGGAATGAAAATCCCCGACGACTTCGAATTCTCGAAGGTACTTATCCCCACCTCCACTTCAATCCGCTTACCATCGTTGCAAGGTCTACAAGAGGTGGTAGTACAATATCACTTGAGAAGGGAGAAGGGAGCTAGGGGGGCAATGTGGGTAGCTTCCCTTTCGTTGGGAGTAAGACCGCTGTCACTAGCTGCCATAGATACCAGATCGATAGGCTGGTTTGTGAACTCAAGAGTTGAGAAGGGTTGATATGGCTCAATATACAGCGAGGACGGGGGTCGCCATTCTCAGGTCACAAGGTAACTAAGTCCCCAGGAACTTTGGTGGCTAAGCGAAGGTAGGATGCAGAAATGCTGATGATTTTGGAGGGGCAACTTAATTCCCTGAGGAAGCAATATAAAGAAATGCCTTCTCTGTCGTAAGTCCACTATTGGGGGATGCTCATATCACCTCCTCTAGTGGGCTGAAGTGGAACTTTTTACGTTCTATTCGAATACAAGAGTTTTTCAAATTTCAGAATTTGAATAGAAAAGGTATGTGTTGTATTCGAACACAAGGGGTATGCGGTATATTCGAAGTGCCCTTCTATTTGAGAAAAGTGGACCCCTGCCGTTTCGATTTTGAAATGTTCACAGCCAAAAGGCTTTCCAGAAAAAATATCAGAACATTTTCAAAAAGTCATTTAGACCGCAAAATAATTGTCGCAGCGATTTGGCACATTTTCCATTTTTGCCACTCATGTGTGGGCCAACTGAAGTACTCCAAATTCAGTGACTTTTCGCACTCAGAAGAATGCGTGAAAAAAACTGAAAATTGGAGTACTCGTAGATTTTGTTGTGAACTTTCAAGGAAAAAATGCTCAATAAATTTTTAAAAAATCATTCCAACTGGGAAATAGATCGTGGGCGCAATTTGACCCATACTTCAATTTTGTCATTCAGCCTCTCTCTCTCTCTCTCTCTCTCTCTCTCTCTCTCTCTCTCTCTCTCTCTC